GGCCAGACGAGTCCGGAATACCCGCAGCATGACAGGCCCGCGAGCCTGGAGAAACTGGGGAACTCCGGCAGCCTGGGAAGTTCGCCACGCCCACCTCTAATAGGCCCAGCCCGGCCCAGCGCCACAGACCCTGGGAGCTATCGCTCACCGTAGGCTCCGCCCACCCCCGGAAGACGATCAGCACAGCCCCATCCACGCCGAAAGCTACCCGGCCAGGCCCCGCCCACCCTGAATGACGCCAGTTAGGGCCACCGCCACCCCGGAATTAGGACCTATCTCACTCCCGCTCCCCCACCCAGAAAAAGGACCCGGTACAGCCGCGCCCATCCTGGAAGTGGACTTGGTCCAGCCACGCCCACCCCGGAACAGCAGTAGGGAAGCGGCGGCTCCGCCTCCGTCAGGCCTGTTGGTGTCCTTCGAGAATGGGGGGGGGGGGGTCCTTCGGGGGGGGGGGGGGTCCTTCGGGGGGAGGGGAAGGGTCGGAGTCTGAGTCGGGAAGGGGTACCGGCGGGGGACAGAGTCGGATCCCCGGGCGGCAGGAAGGGGTACCACTCTCTCCCGCTCGAAGGAGGGCCACCCTCACATCATCTCAGGTAGGATGGGTGCCCACAAATGAATTCCCGCCGGGACAGGGGACGTCTCTGCGAGCCGGAGTTCTTTCTGCGGGGACCAGCCGAAGACTCCACGCGCGCTCCCGAAGCAGGTTTGTACCTCAGTAAAGGCACACACCCAAAGTATGTTTGCATCCCAACACACACTCTGCGGAGAAAAGACCAAAGGTAGGAAAGCACCCATTCATTAAGTACACGTGGTAGGAAATGTCTGTCTGCTTGGAATTCATTTTAAAGTTAAAAACATTCTGAATTGCGGTTTCAGTGGGGCTTTTATTTTTAGAGAGAGGGTAAGGAGGGAGGTAGGGAGCAGCGAAGCATCTGTCGTTTGCCTCTCGGACACCCCCAGCCAGAGACCTGGCCAGCAACCTAAACGTGTGCCCTGACCTGAATCGAACGGAATTGACCTTTCTGTTTGCAGGCCGGCGCTCAATCCGCTGAGCCACACCAGTCAGGGTTCAGTAGGATTTTCTAAAAGCGGGTTTATGCGAAGTTAGCTTCAAGATATCTCGACAAGAATGTCCCTAATATCTTGCAAAACAATGTTTCAAAACAAATCTTTGCTTTTGCCAACCTGAAAAGAGCACAGAGATTCATTCCTCTGATCTTTTTGGGGGTTGTTTTCTTAGTTTTTTGAAAGGCAAATGATTAAGTAGAGACAAACTAGTATGTTCCTAGAACACTTAATTTTTTTTTTTTTGAGATCTGTGGAGTCCAACTCTGCAATTCTGTTTGAAGCTGAACTGTAGTCTAATATAAACTATGTAATATGCATGAACTAAAATGTTACACCGTTGTTGAGAATTAGAGATGTCAACACCAATGCTTAGCAGTGCTCCCTGACTACTCAAAAGTTCTTCACTGCCTTCATACTTATCTTGATGTTATTTTGTATTTGTCTCTTGTTTGTATGTGCATATTTTGCTCCCTGAGTACTTTAGATTGTAAAGTTTTTTTTATCTCACACTGTACTCAGCACTAAATTCAGAAGAGTTGCTGAATTAATATCTGATGAAATCCACCTGTTGTGCATGCAGGTGGGAGGAAATTTGGGTGGAAAAATATCTGATAGAGGAGGCTCTAATCCAATTATTAGGTGTGCCAATGAAATAAGAAAATGGACAAAAGGCCTGATTGCAATCTGAGAACTTAACAGAATTCAAGGAAAAAGCTAGAAATTTTGAAAACATTTAATAACATTAAAGACCAAATCCTGCACATGAATCTGGATAGGTGCAGTGTTTGAAATGGCCAAAGAAATAATGATGTTTAAATTAGCAACGGTATCTTCTGTCATCAGAAAACCGGTCATGTAATGTGTTCATCCCTTGTCTTGCAGCAATTCTACCTTTTCTTAAGTCTTTTGGGAATCATCAAAGCAATGATAAATAGAACTCATTATTTAATGATTGTTAAAAATATGATTCCTTTTGCAGGTTGAATATTAAGGTAAAGTAAAAATGACCAAGAAGACTATATACCAAAAAAAGAGAATGTTATTAATCTGAAGTTACCCCTCCTAATCTAGTTCAGAACACAAAGCATATTGAAGTCAATGATTCCAAAACATGGTGAATGCCATTTCTTAGTCCTTAATGACAACAACAACAATAAAAAATGTGATTCTCGGTATTGTTTTCTTTTTTAGGCAAAATCTTGTAAATCCAGATTAGAAGAGATAAGGGCATTATAGGGCATTTCAAGTTTGAAATGAAAGTGTTGATTATTTAACCACCTCAAAACATAAATAATAGTATATTCATCTCTTATCTTTTAATCCCTTAGGTCTGAGTGTCTTTAGTTAATCTGGAAATATAACTTTAGGAAAAAAGATTTAATATCTATTTTTGCAGCATACTCCAAACAGCAAAACTGAAACAAAATTCTTCAATATATCTTCAAAATTAAGCATTTTCCCTTAGTGATATATTTCAAATACATAATCACAGTTCATTGTTTTAGCTATTGGTCTTCTAACCTTGTCCAGAAAACTGTGAAGTCATTGGTGTATATTTTAGTAACTTTAGCTAATAATAAAATATTTTCTACTTCTTACCCAAGGGGTAAATTAAATATCTTGTACAATGTAAGCTCCTATTCTCTATTCTCCACTGTGTCCCCAGGGCCTAGAACAGTAGCTAGAACTTGGTAGGCACTCATTAAATATTTCTTGTTGAATAAATAAGTCTTTGTATGTTAAGTGGCTGTAAAGTCCATGAAACATGAGAGGAATCATTATTCAGATAGCATGGTGATTTTTAGAAAAGATAACCTCATCCAAACTCCAGCTCAAGGTTGGATGGGGTACATGATTTCTAACCTTTAAATTCAGACAAACACTACTCATTCAAGAGCCAACGAATCAAGCATTGAAAAAAGAACCTACCTTTTTCTTGCTATTGTACTTTAAAACATGCTCTTATGTATAGTTTTTCTTATTCAACTTTGTGCTCTTTATACCATGTAACATCTCTAATTCCACATAATGTCATCATATTAGTCCTTTGTGCTGACCAGTGGCCAATAAACTTTGTTGTATGAAATGAAACTTTTCTTATGATGTGCTTTTTAACGGGGCCAAGTCTGGAAGACGTGAATCTAGAAGTAAAATATCAGTCATTTTCCCAAATATCAAAGTGAACATCCTCCTGATGTGGGTTGGATGAGGAGTGTTAAGTAAGAGCGAAGAACAAACCCATTTACATCAAAGAGTAAATATTATTCGTCGTTTGTCACTGTCGTAACGTTCCTATGTGAACAATCCATTTCGAATGTGAAAATAGCTCCATTTAGTCTCAGTTGTTGCAGTGATATCTGTATCACAAGATGCCCTGCGGATTGCTGAGAAGATCACCACTGCGGATAATAATGTTTTTATAAAAATTGGATTGGCCCGAAATATAACTGGGTTACATACAGCAATTTAAAATTCCCAAAAGGTCTTGTCACATTGTTTGGTCGCAAACACCCCGAATCTCAATACCAGAACTGTGTCCGTTAGAACTGCAATGTAATCATTTTGTCTACATGGTGTGCCCTATATGGCAATAGAGCAGACCCGGAGTTAAGAGTGAAACACTCTGAATTAGTAAAGGGAAGGAAACAGAGCATTGCCCTGGCACGGAGTTAACAGACATCCCAAGGTTGTGGGGGAGGGTGGTCAAGCTAATTTACAGCGGGACAGAAAACGAAAAGACAACCCGCCCACCTTGGGGAAAGACAGAACGCGCAGACTGCAGAGGAAAGCAGGAGGGAAGCAGAGCCAGAACCGAGCGGACAAAGGTGGAGTGGCCACGCCCACAAGGCGGGGTGTCTGATGGAGAGGGCGGGCCTTTACGCGGACCTGTCGTCCAGGCAACGGGATCCTCTGTGCGGGTACTTTTAAGAAAGCTCCAAATCCAGGAGTTTGTAGTGTGGAGAACAGTCATTGGGGAAGAGAAGGGCTGAGACAACACAGAGAGAGACCCCAGCGTCCCGGCGACCGGACACCTGCTCTGCCCAGGTTTAGGTGGTCTTCCAAGTGAGGGAGCAGAGTTTGAAAGCAGATTCCAGAGCACAGGAGGATAGGGATCGAGGTTGCCCACCCTCTCCCGGAGCCTGGGCCCGGAAGCAGCTCCCCTCGCCGGCCCCTTTGTCTCCTAGCCGCCCGGCGCTGGGCTCCGCTGAGTACACAAAGGGAGGGTGTTGAGAACCGCGCAAGCGCGCGAGGCGCCGAGATTGCCGGGAGTGGTGGTCCCGCAGCCGAATGGTAGGTGTCCCGCGCGAGCCAGCGGCCGCCCAGGCCATACAAATGCGCAGGAGCCACCACTTCCGCCCTGCTCGGGGCCTCTGTCCCCACCCCTCCGCAGGACGCGGGTTTGTAGTACTGTATAGTAGTTAAGAGCCCTAGAGGAGTTATTCCACCTTGTCCCTCCTTCTCTTCATATTGATTGGGCCAATGAGGTAATGACCGCAGTGGACTGGCTCCTGGGGTTGCCAGTCTGTCCCGAGAGGTACTTATATCCCCGTTGCGCGGTAGGCGCTGGAGATTTGAGGGGCTGAACGGGAAGAGGGGTTAGGTTTTCTGGGCATGCAACGATCTTGAGGCAGCGGCAGCAGCAAGGTCGGCTCTGTCTCGGTCTTGGGCGGGTCTTGTTGTCACCCCGCGTCCCCGGCGGGCATGCAGCGGCGCCGGACTTGTTCTGCCTCCAAGTACGAAACTCACAGTAAAGTTTGTGCCTGGCCTGTCGCCCTCTATCCCCGCGACCCCCACCCCCGCAAAAGTGACAGACAAAGCCACACCCCCACGCGGCCTGGCCGGTGAGGGGCGTGAATGCGGCGGGGGCGGGGCCCGCGGGGAGGGGGCAGTGGGGGGTGGCGGGGCGCATGCGCCGTACGGGGGGCCGAATGTTTCCCAAGTGTTTGAAACTGGTATTTGGGTTTTCCACGTTGGACAAGTGCGGCGCGGCGGGCAGCGCGCGCCCCTTCCCGCGCTCGCTCGGCCCAGCCCCGGCCCCTCTGCCGGGGTGCGCGCCCGCACGCCCGCCCGCGCCCGCCCCGCGCCCGAGGCCGCCGAGCGCTGGCCCGGCACACCCGCGCCGGGTCCCCGGGCCCAGGCGGCGCGGCTCGCAGATGTAGCGGCGCGGGGCCGGCAGGAGGGGGGGGCGCCGGCGGGCGGGAGGTTTGCATTTTGCAGGGCTGGGCTCCGAGGGGGCGGGGGCTGGAGGAAGCGGAAAGCCGCGCCGAGTCGCCGGGGACCTCGGTGAACCATGTTGAGCCCTGCCAACGGGGAGCAGATCCACCTGGTGAACTATGTGGAAGACTACCTGGACTCCATCGAGTCTCTGCCTTTCGACCTGCAGAGAAACGTCTCGCTGATGCGGGAGATCGACGCGAAATACCAAGGTACGGCGGGATGCATGGGCGGGGGCGGCCGCTCCATCCCCGCGGGTCGCGGCTCGCGGCTCGCCGCGGGGCCGCGGGCGGTCCTGGCCCCTTCCCGGGGAGCCGTGGGCCCGCGGCGGTGTCCCTGGCCGGGCAGAAACAAAAGGTCTGGAGCGCCTTTGATTCGTCAAGGTCCTTCTGTGCGGAGCCGGGACACGGAGGAGGAAGGAGAAAAGAGAGGTCTCAATGCCAGGCTGCGCGAGCAAAGCGCTCTTTGTAGTGAAGTGACGAGGCGGGGTGTTGCGGGGGAGGGGGCTCAGGGGCGCAGGCTACAGCGCGGAAGGAGGAATATGCCGCTTTCGCTAGGGCTGAGGGGCTCAGGGACGGGAATACGCGCAGTTCTGCTGGGAGGGCGCTGCAGGCGAGGGGTCCCCTGGCCCTGCTGGCTATCCCCAGAGCCACATACATCCAGTCCCGAATTTGAGTGTTATATAAAGTCCAGGGTCCGTACTATGCGCGGTGTAGCCCCGGTCGCCCCCGCCCAGCCCCCCAGCTCTCCCGCGGTGCTGGACACCGAGTCGGGGACTACATGGCTTGGTGTAGTTTGCGGAGGCCCTGGGCTTTATTCCGTGCGTACAGTGGGGAGGGGAAAAGAGGGGAGGATGTGGCGAGGAAGTCGCCCATCTGTGCTGCGCTCGGGGGGCGCGTGCAAAGACCAGGGGTTGGAGAAGAACATGGCTGGGAGAGGACCTGTGGGTCGTTGTCTGCAGCCCCTGCTGCCCAGGGTCCGGGAGAGAAGCGAGGGTTCATGTCCGCTGGGAATTGTTGGCTGTTGGGGAAACTTTCCTGCCAGGTCAGGCACGGCTTTGGGGGCTCTGTTTGGAACGTAGGTCGTCACTCCGAGTTTACTAATGTTTACAGGGCTGCGCAGCAGGGAAACAGGAGTGGGGGGGGGGAGGCGGAAAGCCATAGCTTTCAGTGAATCACACAGAAACCCCCTCTCGACGAGGCGCCCCTGCGCGCTCTATCAGACACTCGGTTTCGCAGCGTTATTTATAAGAAGCTTATTAGCATATTGCGAACCTCCCGCTTTAGCCTTCTCACGATTGGCTGTGGCGTCCCCATGGAATGTCCTTATCAGTCCGCTGCTTAGCTATTGGTTGCTGGGCCGGATGAGGGCGGGCCTTGCACTGTGACTGGCACGGGTCTCTGTTTCCGCGGCCTTCTTTTTTCTCTTTTGTAGAGGGGCGGGGAGGAGGGAGGAGGTCGAGTTGATTTGAATGTCTTCGGGTCGCCTGGCTTCTGGCCTTGGATTGGCTATTGACGCTGCGGGGTGGGCCGTGTTCCCCTGCCCTACTCTGAGATTGGATCCCCTTCTGGCCTCCGCCCTCCGGCCTGGAGACCCTCATAGGCTGCAGTTGCCTGGGCGGGGCGCGTCCTCGCTGGCCTCCTCCCCATTGGCCGGATTCCCGGCCCCGCCCCCTATCCTCAGGGACCCGAGCCTGGCCACTTCCGGCCGTGGAGCTATGGCGGCCCTTGGTAGTCGAAGGCGAGATTTCTTAGTCCTTCTGTTGGCTGTACAGAGGACTCACCTCAGGCGTCCCGCTCCGGCCCCAGGGAACCGCGGGAAAGGCCAGCGGCTGCGAGGAACGAGGGAAGCGTGAGTGACCCGTTTGGAAGGGGGGGGCTCTTGTTGGTGGACCGTGCCCTTATTGGCTGGGGTAGTGTAATCATTGGAGATCAGGGGTATTTAAAAGATTCACAGCCTTTGTAGAATCCGTGGTACTGTTAATTAGCATTTTCCTAGATGACCAAAAAAAAAAAGGATTACCTTTAAATGTTTCTAACATTCACGCCTGTATACCCCTTAAAGTTACTTCCTTCCTTTATGGCTCTTTGGCTGTTCAGTTAATACACAGTGCGGTGCTTATTTGACTCCTGTGGAGCACATACTGAAGCCAGTGCTATTGAGTGAGCTCTAAAGTCTAATCATTCTTCATGAGAACAGTCATAATTTACTCGTTTGGGATTTAATATAAATGTTAAGGTATGCAGTCTAGTTCTTAAAAATTAAGTTTTTACTTCATGTTGCAAGTCGAACAGTTAATTTTTATTCTATAGTATGCATCAGTTGGAGGTTAATTCATAATGATGGATTATAATTAATTCAACTTTAAATGGTATTTTAAAAATTATTTCTTAGTTATTTTTTGTGTTACTTTTTAAATACCCACTCACCTATCCACCATGGAAGTCGCCTTCATAAAGAACTTAAGTGCAAATGTATGCAAAATTAAAGTACATTATGGATCATTGGAAAGATCAAATTTGCTGCGATGTCTTTTAATCCTTAAATTTCCCCTCATTGTACCATTGCTTTCCTACAGTAATGTTGCTGTGGAGCATTTCTAGAGGAAATGGTCTGCAGCAGTTTGAGCTGATGGGGTTTGAAGAAGTGAGTGTCTTGGCAAGATGCCTCCCTAGCTAGTGCTGGTGTTCCTCTTTAACAGACATTTGTACTTAAAGTGGCTTTGTTTAAATAGAGTGCTTTGCCCAGGGCATCCAAGAAATAGATGCCGTTATGAAGGTAACAGAATTACTTCTTGATAATTTTGTGATGTTTGTTTATTTCCCACAAGTGAGAATCCACATGGATATGAGCTTGCTTGTGATATAAAAGAAGCCATACTTATTAAATTTAAAATTAGCCATATGGTAGAATTGTTCTCTTCTCTGAAATGCTAAAAGTGTTGCTAGAAATTTGGTTACTTATTAAACCAAATGACAGTTTTGTAATGTGCAATTCCCTTTATTTTTAAGGGAGCCCTGACTGGGTAGTTCATTTGATTAGCATCATCCCAATATGCCAAGGTTGAGGGTTCCATCTTGAGTCAGGGCACATAAAAGAAGCAACTAAAGAATGGATAAGTAGGTGGAACAGCAAACTGATGTTTCCGTTTCTCTCTCTCAAATAAATTTTTAAAATAAACATTACTGAGCATTTCTAAACATTTGGGTTTAAAAAATGAATGGCAGAAACTTATTTTAACATCTGTTAAACAGAACTTGGTTGAGAACAGCTGTTTATTTTCAGGATTAATTAAGATGCTGTAGGACCGGGGCACTCCTTTCTGATAGGAAATTACACATTGTTGTAGGAAGTATCTTCAGAGCTATCTTTAGGTTAAGAATGTAGCCTGGAAAATAATACTTACCATTTACCTAAGCTCCAGTGTTGGCCTAAGTTTGTATGTTTACTTTAGTTTTAGATTTATGCCTTATAACTGTTTGGAAATAAGATCTGGGTGATAGCCACATGTTATGCGTTTTCTTCTGATATCCCCATATTTAACTTCCTAGTTTGAAAGTAGAATTGCCTTATTTTGAAAGATTGCAAAAGGTTTACAAGAGAAAAGTCTGCTACTATTTCATGGTACTATTAGGGGGAAATAACTCTAGAAATTTGTACCTGTGTATTTAAGCTTTTGGCAAGAATGTTTATTTTCCTTATTTCAATCAGATTTTTTTAACAACTTTATTCATTATCTTTTTGAGAAATTGCCTAATTTGCAAAATTACATTTCATATTCACACACACTGCCTTCCTACCTTTCTAAGAAGATTTCAATTTAGTATTGAGGATTTCAAATATATTTTTGATGTTTTACAGTCTGTAGATATGTTACTGTTTTAAGCAGTAAATGCAAAAGCAAAATCTGCCACCTTTGTTTTAAAGCAAGGTTGGATTGTGTGGCTTATTGTGACAACCTTTATTATTTTCAGTAATACAGAGGAATAAAATGCTAGGGTGAAAATGATGTGATTAATAAATTGAGTCTCTAGGACATATATACAGTCTATAATAGGGTATTATAGACATCAGTACATTAAAGTAAAATGAATAAGGGCCTTTACATTATTAGAAAACTATTTGAATAAAAACAATAGCAATAGAGGACATCATTAATTTTATTGAAAATAAAAATTTGGGACCCAGTGCTTCATCTAAATTTGATCTTTTCTCCTAATTGTCCATCGTAGGAATATTACTCACACTTCTGAATGTACACAACCCCTTGGGGAGCTTTCAGTAGCACTTTGCTAAATGAGAACTGTGTTGGCATTTGTATTTAGTTCCGAGGACTTTTTTCTACAGGAAAAAAAAAGCCTGCTAGGAAGGCATACAAGGTATAAGCTTTTCATATTAGGAAACTTTGCATTGGTCATTTCTCTCCTTTGTAATTACTTTTTCATAGACCAGAGAATTAAATAAAAGGCTTGGTAGTATTTATAGTGTGGGTATAATGCTCATTTTTCCCTTTGCAGAAATCCTGAAGGAACTGGATGACTATTATGAGAAGTTTAAACGGGAGACGGATGGCACCCAAAAGAGGAGAATGTTGCACTGCATTCAGAGAGCCCTGATTCGGAGCCAGGAGCTGGGCGATGAGAAGATTCAGATTGTGAGTCAGATGGTAGAGCTGGTGGAGAACCGGACCAGGCAGGTAGACAGTCACGTGGAACTCTTTGAGGCACACCAAGAAGTCAATGACACCACTGGCCACAGTGGCAAAGCCGGCCAGGATAAGTCCAAGAATGAGACAATCACACAGGCAGAAAAGCCCAATAACAAGAGGTCTCGGCGGCAGCGCAACAATGAGAATCGGGAGAATGCGGCTAATAATCATGACCATGATGACATCACCTCAGGAACGCCTAAGGAGAAGAAAGCAAAGGCCTCCAAGAAGAAGAAACGCTCCAAGGCCAAAGCAGAGAGGGAAGCATCCCCTGCAGACCTTCCCATCGACCCAAATGAGCCCACGTACTGTCTGTGCAATCAGGTCTCCTATGGAGAAATGATCGGCTGTGACAACGACGAGTGCCCCATCGAATGGTTCCACTTCTCCTGTGTAGGACTGAATCATAAACCAAAGGGCAAGTGGTACTGTCCCAAATGTCGAGGGGAGAATGAGAAAACCATGGACAAAGCCCTGGAAAAATCCAAAAAGGAGAGGGCTTATAACAGGTAGTTGGTGGACCTTGCTGAGTAGTGAGGAGGACTAAGCCAGTGTATTTATTACATTGCCACCTTTGGTGAGGTGCAAGGACTGTACAATGTATATTTTTAAAGAATGTTAGAAAAGGAACCATTCCTTTTGTAGGGATGGCAGTGATTCTCTTTGCCTTTTGTTTTCATTGGTACACTTGTGTAACAAGAAAGTGGTCTGTGGATCAGCATTTTAGAAACTACAAATATAGGTTTGAATTAAACATTCAAGCGAGTGAGTAGTCTCTGACTGATTTTTGGGGTGGGGGGGATTGGGAAAGTTGACCTGGTAGCATCCTAACATGTTAAATGTGGAAAGAAATTCATTTACCTACTGTTATTTTAATAAAAAGAATGTTATTATTTCATGAACAATTTTTTTAAAAACTAGCCAACCAAGTTGCTAAATCTTGCTTTAATAATGTATAGCCATATAACAATTTAAGTTTGAAAATTATTTTTGATAAAGGTAAATGGTTAAATTTTACATGGTGTCCTGTTCCCTAGATGGCCATTTTTAAATGACTGTGTACATTTTTTAATAACCAAACAAATGGTCTAGTCATGGAATCAAATTCGTGCTTTTGCTGTCACCCATCCTAGTATAGTGCACTTACTTTATGTAAAGTATAAAAATGTACATTTCTAAGTGAACTTGCACTTGCTGCATTATAATCAGAAGTGCAGCCAGATGCCATTGTGAAACCAAGGTGTTTCCTGCTGTGCAGATGTGACATCAAGAAATAAATGAAACTTAGCCAGTTCTTCTAGCAGTATATTTAATTTCAATATAAGTGATTTTTAAATTTTTCTCTCTGCAAAGTATGTACACTAGCAGTTTAGACAAAGCCTTAAGCAAAATTTGGTGTTATTGTTCTCAGTAGTGAAACAGAAGTCACCTAATTATCAGCAAGTAAATGTCAAAACACAATATATATTTAGACCAAGGGTTGGAAAATTATTGCCCACAGGCCGAATCCAGCCCTGCACCTGTTTTTGTATGGCCCGTGAGCCAAGAATGATCTTTACATTGTTTAAATCAAGACTCCTATTTTGTGACATACGAAAATTATATGGAATTCAAATTTTAGTGTCCATAAATAAAGTTTTATTGTCACACAGTCATGCTCATCCACTATTTTTGTACAGTGGCCGAGTTAAGTGGTTGTGACTGAGAGACTGTATTAGCCACAAAGCTGAAATTACTTATTTTTTTATCATAAGTTTGCTGACCTGATTTAAACTAACTTCTTGCATGATAAACTGTTCTTAACTGCCCACATATTAAAAGGGTCAACAGAATTTCTGTTTCTAAGGGATATATGATTTACTTTAGCCATATATTACAGTTTATTTTACATCCTCTGTGAAGCCGCTACAAGGAAGAACTGTAGCATCTAAGGATCTGTGTGGCATTGTAAGTAAAACAATAAGTTGTTTTTTGATTGTTTACTTCATTTGATAGAAATTATTGAGACCTTTATTTGTGCCAGAGTTAATTAAGTCTCTGTTTTACAGTGAATTTCCATTTTTGGAGGTTATTTGGTAGAGAAATGTAAATTATACTTGATCACATAAATTAAAATGTGAACTTTTTGCATATCAATACCTTCAAATAGGCATTTACTTTCCAGCAAAACTCCAAAACATTTGAGAATCTTGTGTTGAAATTTGGTAAGATTTAGCTAGGTAAACAATAAATAAACAGTTTACTATATGAAATAAGTTTAACTAAAACACTTGATAATACTTAATGACAAAAGTAGTTTATTTTTTAATTTTATTGTTCAATTACAGTTGTCTGCATTTCCCCCCACCACTCCCTGCCAAAAGTAGTTTAAAAGAGTCTTTGCTTATATAAAATTCTATTTAGTTTACTTGTTTTAATTAGCATTAATAATGAAAATTAAGTGATGGAAGTAAAGATTAAATAGAACACAGTTGCTGATCCCAGATTTCTTTATATTCAGCTGTAGACAGCTGTAGTCGAGACAAATATTTGTGTGCATCTTTGTGCCTTTGGGGATTGATGTTCCGTAAATTTGCTTAATTCTTGATCCATGGATGTTCACTTTTAGGACCCCTATTTCATGTAGGGAAGTTCTGAGAAAAATGAGGTTAAGTGAGTGACACTGGGATGATGTTAAGCAAATGCTGGGTGTTTTTTTCCCTCCCTTTAGTGAAGTTTCCAGTAGGGACAACTGGTGAGGCATTTTTTTCTTGGAAAAATGTGGAACATTATAGAGGAAGATTTTGTTGGATTTGGCAGTATTTTAAGTCACTTTTAATTCCTGTGGACGTGGAAAATACAATCACAGATAAGTACTTGGTGTATCATGATTTAGGCTTTAAACATGATTAAATACTATAGGAAGACCCAGGTAACCCTGTGATGAAAATGGGTTTGAATTATTTTTGAAAATAGATTAGTTAGAAGCTATCTAATGTAGAATAGTTGCTTATTTTTTTTAGTTGAAGTACAACTGGCATATAACATTTTATTTCAGGTGTACAACATAATTGTATACATTTTGACATGATCACAAGCCTAGTTAACATTTGTTATATTAAGTTACAATTTTTTTTAAATTTTGTGATGAAGACTTTGAAGATTTAATCTTTTAGCAACTATAAAATATACATTATTACTAACTATAGTCATTATTGCTATATATTATATCCCCTTATAACTGAAAGTTTGTACCTACCTTACGACCTTTGCCCTTTTGCCCATTGCATCCCTGCCTTTGACAACCACCACTTCCAGTTCCTTACATATTTAATAACCAAGTTATTTTAGTTCAGATGGGGTCTAAAATGTTTTCGTTAGAATGGAATACTTCATTTTAAACTGGGATGAGGAAATTTGGTTCATTCAATTAACTGTCATGTATGGAGTAGCCATGGCCGGCGTTACTGGTGCAGCAGGTGCAGAGGAGGGTGTACTCGGTACCAAGAAGGAATACTGACTGCAGTAGCAGGACCCATCAGAGACACGTCTTCTAGGGACTTGGACATCGCGGTGTAGTCGTCTCAGTAACCAAGACTATCAGTGGTTACAAATTATGAAGTAATAAAGTATCAAGGTAAAAGCCATTTTATTAGTAGTATACTTATTGTTAGACTAGGTACTTAAAATAACCTTTTGTATCATACAGTGTTTCAGGTGAAATGTATTAGGATATTAAACCTTTTCATTAGGCAAAATTACTAACTTTTTGTCTATGTACTTTTGAAGACAAAATGTGCTTTTGCAGGAGACTGAGCTTTTCTCCATTGTTCCAGCTGAAGTAATTGATAAGTCTTTGTAATCACTGGCATGTATAGAAAAAGATTTTAGGACATTCTCTGTCTCCCTCTATCTAGGCTTTAGCTTATAATCCATTCCTGTTTAATTTTGGGGTCCACGTTGTGGTAGATGGTTTGGGAGGTAGACTTTTGGGTGTGTTTAATCTGGAGAAATTGCTGTTTAATTACTGCCTGCACTCACACCTCACCACCCTCATGCTACATGTATAGAGGGCTTAGGAAGGTAGAAAGGTGTGTTGTGAATCAAGATAGCCTTTGAGGTCTTTATGAGGGAGGGCTTTGTTTTAGAATGCTCATTTTAACTATTCAGTTTTCCCAACAAACTTCCGTGTGCTATGTCCTCTCCCCCCAAAAAAGATGACAACAGATACATAGTTTTCACTGGAATTGAAAAAAAAACAAAAAAAACCACAACCTTGGGTCACTTCTCTTGCCTCAAAACTTTGTATTACCTGATTTTGTTCATAAAGGTAGGATTGATAATTTCTCATTTAAAATCCCTACTTTAAAAAGTCGCTGCAAACAATAACAGGTTAAATTTTTTTCATACTCACCTGAGAATATGCTTGTTGATTTTAGAAAGAGGGGAAGGGAGGGAGAGAGAGAGAGAGAGACATAAATCAGTAGCCCCTCTTATGTGCCCCAGCCGGACAGAACCAAACCGGCAGCCTAGGCATGTGACCTGCCCAGAATTGAACCCATGACCTTTCCTTGTATGGGGAGGTTGCTCTAACCAACTGAGCCATACCAGCCAGGGTAACAGGTTAAATCTTGATTTGTGCCATTCAGTGCTTTGTTAAACCAGAGTTTTTCTATTAAGAAAATGCTTACAGTTCTGGCCAGTACGACACTTGGAGCGTCACCCAGTAACCAAAGGGTTGCAGGTTTGATAACCGGTCAGGGCACATACCTAGGTTACAGGTTGATACCCCAGCCCCAAACCGGGTCTGGGCGTGTGATCCTGGGCCTGTAAGAGCCAGTCAGTGCTTCTGTCTCATATTGATGTTTCTCTACCTCTCTCCCTTCTCTCTGTAAAGCAATAAAAAAATGCCCTGAGGTGAGGATTAAAAGTTCTTTTTAAAGCAAAGGAAATGCTTTAGTTTAAGCAAGTCAACTCAGAAGTTTCTCAGCATCACTGACACATAGTAATAGCAGCCACCATTGTCTGCTGTTTGCTAGTACCATAGTACATAGTATTCTATGTATACTTTATGTTAGTTAATTCTTTAAAACAACCCTGCCATGAAGGTGGTAGTCTTTCTAGTAAGGGTGCTAAAACACAGCTAAGGAGACCTGATTCGCACAAGGCTACCCATCCCATACTTGGCTGCAAACCCTGTATCCTCCTACCACCATGGTACACCAGGAATCCTGCCTGGTGCTCAGGACCTGGCACTGTTGACCCATAGTAACTGATGCCAGGGGCAGAGCTAAGTGTTTCCAGTGCTCTTGTCTGGCCTCACTGCTTTGTGTGGTAGGGAATTACCCTTGGTTAATGACAAAAACTGAAAAAAATAAACTTGCAGAGCAAAGTAGGGGGCAGTCAGGTTGAAGTCATCTTCATTGCTGGACTTTCCACCTGAATGAAAGACCTGTGCTACCAGTATAGCCTGTGCGTGTGCTCTTCCTCCAGGTGAACCAGGGCACTGTCATAGCGTGCTTTTGTCTTGCCCTGTAGTAAGTTCCAGGATTGTATTTATACACAAAGCTTTTAAGCAATTTACCAGAAGCAGAGCGTTGTCCTAGAATTGGCATGAGATGCGAAGTCAGAGAGTTTGAATCAGGACTAGTTTACCACCCACAGTCTAACCTCAGGAAGTCACTCAGCCCCGTGTCCTCATAGGCAAAATAAGGCCAGTATTGCTGTGTCTCTCAGTAACAGGAGTACCAACATAGCTACTATGTGACAGTACTGTATTAAAGCAAA